TAATAATTTTTTTCCTCAAAATTACAATAAATGTAACGCTTGAAAGATTTTTTAATTGGATTATCTTGAGATTCATATGCGACTATCTAGCACACTGGATACTATCTACAGTCACCTTCAGCTATGAATGATTTAACAAAACAGTTTTCCGAACAAAGACTAGGTACTTCCCCCGCGGTATACGAGCTAAAAATAAAACGGCCCATACCTGCTTCGAGAAAGTAGCAAGCCTTATGCATATCCTGCAGGTGTCAGGTAAGGTGGATGGTACGACATGGTTCAGAGACCCTTGAATATACATATATTTTAATCAATTATAACCTAAATGAATTTGTAGACGATAAAGCGATAACATCCGGAAAATTAAAACGGTGCATAAATGTGCGTGAACAAAATCAGTGTCGACGTAAAATGCTGATCTTTATCCTTTAATGGCACTAAGTGTGCGTGTTAGGGATGTTGGGCAGCTTGTTCGTCCCTTTTCCGCTATTTTATTAAGTGCAAATGTGTGCACCTCTCACAAGGGCATGCGATATTTAGCTTTTAAACGGCACGGGTATTACGTGTCGTGAAAAGTAACATTATTTCGATTTTTTGACATTATATTGGTTTTTTGTGGCATTATGTAGGTTTATCTTTATTTGCTTTTCAACACTTCTATAGTGTTTCTTTGTAATTGGATCTTGTATCTGTTGAGAAATATACTAAGTGACATATAAATCCGAACACCCAGTTTAAATGGTTTTATTTTAATAAAATTTTGTATAAGTACTTAATGAAGCATAATAAGTAAATGATAAAAATTTCAAAATGATTGCACTGCTTTAAAGCCCTTTGACCTTTAATAATGTGTGGATGCACCCTGATGTGCTACGCATTCTCCAACGCGCCTAGGCATGCTTCTGATCAGGTGGTCAATGTCCTCCTGTGGTATCTCATTCCAGGCAACCACCAACTCCTCTTGAAGTGCTTCTAGAGTCTGAGGAGGACGTTGCAAATTGAGCAATCTCCTACCCATCATATCCCACACGTGCTCAATTGGGGATAAGTCGGGAAATCTTGGTGGCCATGGTAACAATGTGACATCATTATGTTGAAAGAAGTCTATTGTGACTCTTGCAACATGTGGTCGGGCATTATCTTGTTGGAAAGTTGGATCTGCCAGGGTGTCAAGATAGGGTAAAAGATGGGGTTCTAGAACTTCGTGGATATAACGCTGCGCGTTCATGTTACCTCTGATGAAGATTAAAGGTGACCTGGAACCATAAGCTATAGCACCCCAAACCATAACTCCAACAGTGTGATGAACATGTCTTTCAACAAAAAACGGTGGATTCCTCCTTTCACCACGTCGCCTTCTAACCCTGGCACGACCATCGTGCATGCCTAAACAAAATCGAGACTCGTCACTAAAGACAATACTGTTCCATTCCTGATCCCAGAGTGACCGTTATCCGCACCACTCAAGGCGATTACGTCGGTGTTCTCGAGTTAACGGGAGGACCCAGTGTGGCCGGTATGAAAACAAGCCAAAACTTCTCATTCGTCGGTAAACACTTCGCATGCCAATAGGTCTTCCGTGTTCTGCAAACCATTCATTTGAAATGGACCTGGTAGTGGAGAAACGGTCCCTTAAGACCAATAATCTTAGGCGGCGATCTTCACGGTCTGTTGTTCTACGGCGGCGTCCAGTGCCCCTTGCTCTTTGCGTACGGCCTTCTCGAAGCCATGCCTGACAACACCTAACTACAGTGTCTACACTTCTTTGAACTCTAACTGCAATTGCCCGAAAAGAAAGTCCAGCTTCCCGAAGTCCCACTATACGGCCCCTATCAAACTCACTAAGTTGACGAAATCGTACAGGTCTCCGTACTCTAGGCATCGTAACCGATCGTAAAGGATGTCAAGAACCAAAATCCGATAACGTTGATTCTTTACTGCGGCTGAAATATTCATTTTTCGAGCGTTAGTGAATTAAAAAAAAGCAGTATAAAAACTGGAATGTCCAACTGATAAGGCTGAACATTTTTTCACTTGTTATTTACAGTAAGATAAATACATTCACCAACTTCTATTAAAATAAAACCATTTAAACTGGGTGTTCGGATTTATATGTCACTTAGTATACATATATGAATAAAAATAAAATAAAAATCAGATAACTTAGCACTAGCTGATGGACACTTGTCGTGAACTCGTTTTGTAGTTGTACGAGTTGCCTAAACGTAATATATGCTACAGACAGGAATATTTATGAAAGTGAAAAGGTTATTACGTTATTTTTTTATTTCCAATCATTTAAATTTTATAGAAATATATTTTGCGATGTCAGCGCCTAGATGTGAGGCATTGCGAAAATGTTTGATGTGTGATGCGTCATTTGTAATGTTTCTGTGATGTGGCATAATTGCACACAACGTGGATGCGGTGGCGGTTTCCCGTAATGCTCCTCAATGTTTTTGAAAACAAAAAAAGGAAAAAATCAGAATTTATAACTGTGAACATAACCTGTCTTCAGAAAGGTCAACATATCAATAACCCTCTGGACACAGCTAATATACAGGGTGTTCATTTGAAAGATAACTTCGCATAGGTATACTATATTTTGGAACTTGTTACTAAATTTACTCAAACTGGATCTGTTGCAAATAAAAAACGTGATCATCGGAGAGTTTTGGATGAAGCCGGCAAGTTGAAGTTTTGGGTCATTTTGGAATAACTCCTAATATGCAAAATTGTTGCTCCGACTTTTATTTCATTAGGCTCTGTACACACAGTTACCAAACTCTATAAATTTCGTCGATTCAAAATGAAAATATAGCAAGAGTTAACTGAAGACCAATTCGATAGGCAAGTTGAATTTTGTGAAGATGTCATTTAAAAATTTTAAGGGTATGACCCTGGAGGGCAGAGGGTGTAAGGGTATATGAATTTTTTTTTATCTTAGTATATTTATTCGGTAATTCTATGCACCTGTCAGCCATATTTCATACATCATACTTTTTCCTTTAAACCACTGTTGATGTTTTCGATCCACGTCCTATCTAAGCTCACCGCCTGGCGTACCAGTCCGGCTTATAACAAACGGATCTTGCATGAAACGAAAGATAATTCGCTGAGGCGATGATGCGCAGATGTTGAAAGGGGCAACGTTTCCACATGGTCGGTAACTACCAGTAGGGCAGGGAAATAATGTCTTTGAACTAATTTTATGGGCCTGTTTGACTGACTTAATACATCTAATTTCTCTGTTGTACATGTCCGTAATGCAATTTTTTCTCAGAGACTTTGAATTGCTCTGAACTGAAGGCATTTTTTTGATAGTCGTTTTTTGCTGGCCGTATCCATTTATCATTTTGATAACAAAGTTTGTTTCGGCCGAATCGGATTCGTAGTTTTGTTTTGACCGCTACGAACTACTGCCCCATCCACCGTATTCTGCAGATTTGGCCCCGTGTGACTTCTTTTTGTTTCCAAACTTGAAAATGTTATTCGGCAGAAATTTGAGTCGAATGAGGAGGTTATCGTCGCAAACGAGGCCTCTTTGCAGACTCCCAGAAAACGTATTTTTCAGACGGGTTTAAGAAGTTGGAGCATCGCTGGGTCAAGTGTATCAAGGACACGATTTTGAGTAATAAATCTCCACTTTTCCAAAAAATTTATTTTTCCTCTGTAGGCTAAGTACTTATCGGACCGCCCTCGTACATTATAATTTTCTCAGATATAATTACACACAAACGCACGTTATAACTGTCCCATCGATTTTTTCATAATCTCTACGAGACACATTGTTTAACAGTAGGAAATGAGTCTAAGTGTAACAGAATAAGAATACAGTTAGAAGATCCGCTCTAGTTGTTCTATACTGTATGGTAATTACCACATATACAGGATGATTCAAAAACAGTATCAGTATTTCTGGGATGGAAAGTCAAGCAATGGAAAGTTTCTACAAACCTCGCTTATGAAACGTCTGATTGGCTATGGCTTAAATTGTGTATTTTTGTTCAATTTTGGCCGGTTTAAACCAATTGGTTTTTTAGAAAAAACAACACGTGTTTTGTTATTTGCTTTCCACGAACCTTCTTTTCAAATCAAAATTGAATTGTTGTTTAGTTTAATCAACTGTTGTCAAAAAACCTCACTATCACATCACATTAAATACACCCTTTTTCATCAGATTTCGTGACCTTATTTTGATATGATATATATTGCCAATATTCGTGAACAATTATTTTCAAAGCAGCGTAACTTCAAAAGTGACGACTATTGATTGGTTGTGAAGCCAAAAAAATGATATTGATAAATTGAAAATGATATTTATTATTTTAGCTATCATTTTGGATATAGAAACATAGTAGGCCGCGCGGATCGAACGTTAGTACTGAATCTTAACATCACTCTTTGGTAAAGAGTTTCACAACAATACGTGCAGTGTTCTCACTACAGTGAATTTTTAAGTGTCACAAGTCATTAGAAAAATGGAACTCAATCGAGAAAATTGTCGCGCCACAATTTATTATAACTTTCAGAGACAATTATCGCAACAAGAATGCCTTTCTGAGTTACTGTCTGATTTCGGCAACGAAGCGCCACATCAGTCGACACTTTCCCGTTGGTATGAAGAATTCAAACGTGGACGGGTGAGTCTTAGCGACGATTCCAGGGTGGGAGCACCAAAAACGGCAGTCACCCAGGAAAACGTCGATGCTGTACGCAAACTCATCATTGAAGATAGACATGTGACATATCGCGAGATTGAGGCGTCCTTGAAGATCTCAAAGACCTCAATTTAAAAAAATTTACATGAAGAATTAGGAGTGAGAAAATTAGTTTCTCGTTGGATACCCCACCTGTTAACTGAAGAGCAGAAAGCAGCCAGGGTTAATTGGTGTCAAAAAACGCTTGACTGTTTCAATTCCGGAAACTCAAAACATGTGTACAGCATTGTTAGTGGTGATGAATCGTGGATACTGTTATGAACCAGAAAATAAACGACTGTCGGCTGTTTGGGTGTTCCAAGGTGAAGAAAAGCCAACAAAAGTCATCCGTTCTCGAAGTGGTTCGAAAAAGATGGTCGCGACATTTTTGTCAAAAGCGGGTCATATTGCAACAATTCCTCTTAATGAGCAAAGAACTGTTACTGCGGATTGGTATACCACCATTTGTTTGCCAAAAGTCATCACCGAGCTTCGAAAAATCAACCCCGAAAGAAGAATCATCCTCCACCAAGACAATGCAAGCTCGCACACAGCCCAAAAAACAAGGCAGTATTTAACGGAAGAAAACGTAGAATTATTGGACCATCCTCCATATAGTCCCGATATGTCCTAACGATTTCTTTACTTTCCCGAAAATTAAAATCAGACTGCGTGGTCAAAGGTTCCAGTCACCAGAAGAAGGAGTTGACGCATTCAAAAATGCCGTTTTGGATCTGCCAGCAAACGAGTGGAATAAGTGCTTCTAAAATTGGTTCGAGCGCAGGCAGATATGTAATAATCTTCGAAAAACAATAAAGTCATTTAAAATTACCTACCGTGTTGTTTTATTTCCATATGCAAAACTTAAAAGACATCTTTCGTACTAGACTAGTTACTGGAAAGACCTCGAAATTAATTTTTTCATTTAAAATATTTGATGACAAAGTGAAACTATATGAGTAAAATATATTACTAATTTTTCCATTAGATTTTATCTTCAATTTTCGCTTAAGAGTTAGTACTTTATATTTATTCCTTTCTCATTCTCTCGTATGAATAAAAGTAAAAAAGTTGTACATGATGGCCTACTTAGAATGCGAGGTACTGTATCTTGGAACCAATCCATCGTAGAGGGTTGCGGCAAAAAAAGTTCTTACAAAAACGGCCGAGAGAAAAACCTGTATAATAATTTTTCAAAATAAGTTCTTGAAATGGCCGCTAGGGGACGTAGCTGCAATCTAAAAAAGTGATGTTGAAAAGAGCTATTCTTGGGCTGCAAATAATATTTGAAGTTTTGTTAGTTTAACATGTGGCCGCTACATTGTTTTTTTCGACATTCAGACAGAAATGGTTAATTTTCCCAAAAAAATTGAATGCATTGGTATGATTCTTTTTATGAAAAAGTAGCTAAATAATGTCTAAAACCTGCAGCATCTCGATATCTGGTTCCTAACCTAAAATTTGGGCCGAAGAAAATTTTATACGGAAATCCCTTAAGTTTTTATTTTTTTAAACTAATTTTTCTTTCCTGTCGGAATGTCGAAAAAAGACCTCTATCGGCCACATGTGAAACTGATAAAAAATCAAATATAGTATTCTATCTCTTTTCAACTGGCCAAAAAGGTTCAGATTATCCTCGAATTTGAAGATCAGGTATTTTTTGTTAGGTAAATATAGCGGAATTCACAGAAACAGCACTTTTAGATTCAAGATTGCAGCTACGCCCCCTAGCGGCTATTTCAGAAACTTGAAAATATGTTCCAGGTTTTTCCCTTGGCGGTTTTAGTAATTGTTTCTCCCCATAGGTTCCGACATACAATACCTCGCATTGTTACTTAGCCACCCCCAATATGTCTGTGTTTAGTTTAAACATAATCTTCTTTAACCATTTTCATAAAACCTGTTTTTCGCCTATCAAATAGTGCTACCTATATTGTTTGACACATGGAAAGCTGTTTTTGACGAATGCACAAAATAAATTATGTGTAAAAGCAACTATACTATATATTTTTCAATTTCTACTAGTTTCAGTCAATATTTAAACATAAATTGTTTGATCCAAACAGATCTGGTATAAATAAAAATACCTGATTTAAACCAAATACCGATATACCAACATGACTAGGTTTGGCAACAAAATAATGATTTAATTATTTTTTATATCAAAGTGCAAAACATCATAGGATGCAATTCAGGATCTTGTTCTAATAATATAAATAGTTAACCTTGACCTAATTGCATGGTATGCAAGCAACATGCACACATTTTGCCCCCACCCCTTAGAGATCTGCTGGGTAGTACCCTCACGTTCGACTTGTCTATCTACGGCTACGTATTTATAAATAATGGTACTGAATTAATTAGACTTACCATGTCTTGGGCATTTTCTCGTACCATTCCAATATATGTAGTTTCGTCTGGAATAAAGGCAATTTTTGAAGTTGTTGTTCATATAGTCATCGACAATATTTAAGTTTGAATGTTTATCAGCGTGAAATTCTAACCATCATAGTCAATCGTATCAGAAAAGGTTTCTCATCATGTTTCGCCACATTTTTGAAAAGTCTTTAAGTATAGCCTGGATAACTTTAAGAAAAATTCAGTTAAACGAATTAACCCGAATGCAGACTGTCTTTCTCTAGTTTCACCCAAATCACGTTTAATGCTTTCAACCTAAAATATGAACGATTCCGGTATACCAAGACTAGTTTTGGCAACAAAGTAAGGATTCACGTTTTATTTTTCATATCAGAGTGCCAATTATCATAGGATGCAATTCAGTAACTTGTTCTAATCATAAAAATAGTTACGTATCCACTTGGATTAATTGAGTTGAATGAACTCACCCAATTTTTGACAATTTGTCTTTGTTCAGCTTGCTAGGGCGACATCCTTTTCCGTTCATATCGGGTGTAGTGAGAATTTGGATAGATGTGTTCACTAGATTTTGTGATGAGCTGAAAATGCAAGAATTTTAGTTACATGTCCCATTAGTTTAGAAAAATTGAGACATTTTAACTTTGGATCAGATACCCACTCACAGATGTACATCACTGACTAGTAATCAGAATAGTGTTTTCATCATTTTTATTAACTAACTTCGAAAATCTATCAAGATCCTAACGTTGACCTAATTGCATCGTATGCAAGCAACATGTACACATTTTGCCCCCACCCCTTAGAGATCTGCTGGGTAGTACCCTCACGTTCGACTTGTCTATCTACGGCTACGTATTTATAAATAATGGTACTGAATTAATTAGACTTACCATGTCTTGGGCATTTTCTCGTACCATTCCAATATATGTAGTTTCGTCTGGAATAAAGGCAATTTTTGAAGTTGTTGTTCATATAGTCATCGACAATATTTAAGTTTGAATGTTTATCAGCGTGAAATTCTAACCATCATAGTCAATCGTATCAGAAAAGGTTTCTCATCATGTTTCGCCACATTTTTGAAAAGTCTTTAAGTATAGCCTGGATATCTTTAAGAAAAATTCAGTTAAACGAATTAACCCGAATGCAGACTGTCTTTCTCTAGTTTCACCCAAATCACGTTTAATGCTTTCAACCTAAAATATGAACGATTCCGGTATACCAACAAGACTAGTTTTGGCAACAAAGTAAGGATTCACGTTTTATTTTTCATATCAGAGTGCCAATTATCATAGGATGCAATTCAGTAACTTGTTCTAATCATAAAAATAGTTACGTATCCACTTGGATTAATTGAGTTGAATGAACTCACCCAATTTTTGACAATTTGTCTTTCTCCAGCTTGCTAGGGCGACATCCTTTTCCGTTCATATCGGGTGTAGTGAGAATTTGGATAGATGTGTTCACTAGATTTTGTGATGAGCTGAAAATGCAAGAATTTTAGTTACATGTCCACTTAGTTTAGAAAAATTGAGACATTTTAACTTTGGATCAGATCCCTACTCACAGATGACATCACTGACTAGTAATCAGAATAGTGTTTTCATCATTTTTATTAACTAACTTCGAAAATCTATCAAGATCCTAACATTGACCTAATTGCATCGTATGCAAGCAACATGTACACATTTTGCCCCCACCCCTTAGAGATCTGCTGGGTAGTACCCTCACGTTCGACTTGTCTATCTACGGCTACGTATTTATAAATAATGGTACTGAATTAATTAGACTTACCATGTCTTGGGCATTTTCTCGTACCATTCCAATATATGTAGATTCGTCTGGAATAAAGGCAATTTTTGAAGTTGTTGTTTATATAGTCATCGACAATATTTAAGTTTGAATGTTTATCAGCGTGAAGTTCTAACCATCATAGTCAATCGTATCAGAAAAGGTTTCTCATCATGTTTCGCCACATTTTTGAAAAGTCTTTAAGTATAGCCTGGATATCTTTAAGAAAAATTCAGTTAAATGAATTAACCCGAATGCAGACTGTCTTTCTCTAGTTTCACCCAAATCACGTTTAATGCTTTCAACCTAAAATATGAACGATTCCGGTAAACCAACAAGACTAGTTTTGGCAACAAAGTAAGGATTCACGTTTTATTTTTCATATCAGAGTGCCAATTATCATAGGATGCAATTCAGTAACTTGTTCTAATCATAAAAATAGTTACGTATCCACTTGGATTAATTGAGTTGAATGAACTCACCCAATTTTTGACAATTTGTCTTTCTCCAGCTTGCTAGGGCGACATCCTTTTCCGTTCATATCGGGTGTAGTGAGAATTTGGATAGATGTGTTCACTAGATTTTGTGATGAGCTGAAAATGCAAGAATTTTAGTTACATGTCCACTTAGTTTAGAAAAATTGAGACATTTTAACTTTGGATCAGATCCCTACTCACAGATGACATCACTGACTAGTAATCAGAATAGTGTTTTCATCATTTTTATTAACTAACTTCAAAAATCTATCAAGATCCTAACATTGACCTAATTGCATCGTATGCAAGCAACATGTACACATTTTGCCCCCACCCCTTAGAGATCTGCTGGGTAGTACCCTCACGTTCGACTTGTCTATCTACGGCTACGTATTTATAAATAATGGTACTGAATTAATTAGACTTACCATGTCTTGGGCATTTTCTCGTACCATTCCAATATATGTAGGTTCGTCTGGAATAAAGGCAGTTTTTGAAGTTGTTGTTCATATAGTCATCGACAATATTTAAGTTTGAATGTTTATCAGCGTGAAATTCTAACCATCATAGTCAATCGTATCAGAAAAGGTTTCTCATCATGTTTCGCCACATTTTTGAAAAGTCTTTAAGTATAGCCTGGATATCTTTAAGAAAAATTCAGTTAAACGAATTAACCCCGTCTTTCTCTAGTTTCACCCAAATCACGTTTAATGCTTTCAACCTAATCTATGAACGATTCCGGTATACCAACAAGACTAGTTTTGGCAACAAAGTAAGGATTCACGTTTTATTTTTCATATCAGAGTGCCAATTATCATAGTAACTTGTTCTAATCATAAAAATAGTTATGTATCCACTTGGATTAATTGAGTTGAATGAACTCACCCAATTTTTGACAATTTGTCTTTCTCCAGCTTGCTAGGGCGACATCCTTTTCCGTTCATATCGGGTGTAGTGAGAATTTGGATAGATGTGTTCACTAGATTTTGTGATGAGCTGAAAATGCAAGAATTTTAGTTACATGTCCACTTAGTTTAGAAAAATTGAGACATTTTAACTTTGGATCAGATCCCTACTCACAGATGACATCACTGACTAGTAATCAGAATAGTATTTTCATCATTTTTATTAACTAACTTCGAAAATCTATCAAGATCCTAACATTGACCTAATTG